TAAAGGCAACTAATTCGAGCTATATTTTATAGCCAGAAATTTCTAATTTCAGTGAGAAGTTTGCCTTTGGTCTAAAGTGTATTTAAACACGAAGCGTTTCGAAGCGAGAGAATGCCTTATAGTCGGAAAGATTATTTTCATAGATCTTACTTTGATACATAGATGGCCTGTTCTGATTCGTCGTGTAGGCCGCAGCATCGTTTCCATTAGTTTCTGTCTCTCGCTCACGTCATCCACGATATATGAACTGCGGCGACGATGTTTGCGAGGTACAAATCCATCAATCGTTACAATTCGTTGGTCATCCATGCACGAACACGCCCATCTGATCGGTGACTTTCCTGGGGAGCGTTTTGCTTCGCGAGACCCATTTCAGAGTTCTTAGTGTCCATCTGTCGTCTGTCCTTCTCATTATATGATCAGCCTATCGGTTTTGCTTTGGAGACCATTCCGTTGGATCGCGAAGACGAGGCATTTATCTCATATTTGAACGGCGAAGTCCGACGAGATGTTGAGTACGTCGGTTGTTTATCAAAAGACGTTGTTTAAGCGCTGTAAGTTGTTCGGGGAGCTTTTGACGTAGCCACTGTCAGGCCACGTTTCTGCAGCATAACATAGCGCAGGAATTTAAGCGCAGCGTTGAATCGAGCAGCTGGTCTTGGAGCTCTGTTTCCGTCAGTTGGTCTGTGGCTTCCTTCTGGAGAAAGCGACTCAAGCTGCTCTTTGCCTCCTGTTTAGTTCTTCTTTTAGATCGTTCACCATGTTCATCGAACGTCCGAGATATACGTATGAAGACGTCACCGCAATTGGAGAGCCTTCTATTTCCATTTCCTAATAATTGCAAAAAGCGTTTTCATGAACTAAGTCTTCTTTCAGTTAACTCATTGTCTTATCCGCTTCCCTACATCGTTTAGTTCTTCCAATATCGTCTTCGGTCCAGTGATATTCCTCGAAAAAGGAACAATCATGAATGTTGAATGTTGAATGAATGTTCGAGTGGAATCTGCCATCGACTTGTATATCTCTCTTGTTCCAACTCAGGGATTTCATTATCCACTGTAAGGCGGCGGTAAACAGCTTTGGCGACACGGTGTCGTCTTGTCTACTAAGTGGACGATGGAAAAGCTGTACTGTTGTAGGGTAGTTTTTGTAGCAGTCAGCCAATGTCTTCGTGTAAGAAAGTCTTGTTCGACGAGCGTTGATAGTATGGCATTTGTCTCGACGCTGTCAAACGCTTTCTCACAGCGAAAGTTAGGACGAGATCGATACAGTGCGGATGTGATCTACTCAGCTAAACGCCTTGCAAAATCCAACTTGTTGGTTGGGCTTCATCCAATCTTTAATATGTTAGTGAGAATAATCCTTGTGAAGAGCTTGTAAAGTACGCTAGAGGGCATATTGGACGGTATTTCCGAAGATCCTCCCTATCGAACTTCTTGTTGAGAAGAATTGTTTGTGAAGTTCTCCAATGGTCGAGGATCCTTTCCTTTTAAAGGTAGAACGTTAGGCGCTGCA